TGGGGCCCTGGGAGAGGCAAGCAGACTAAGGAGTGCTGAGGTCAGACCAGCTTCATCTCATGTGCAAGAATGCCCAGCAGAGATCAGGTCTCAGAGGGGAATTCTCTGAAAAGGGAAGCCGCAGCACAGCACAACTACTCTACAAAAACATGGCCAGACTTCTTTTTCAGCAAGCCTCCTTTTATTAAGAGGGAAACTCTCACACTTGATCCCTGCTGGGCAATCATCACGAGATGTGGCTGACCTGACCTCCACACTCCTAAAGTGCTGGGATAAATTGTCTCATAAGACCAGGTAGAGCCTGGAGATATAGCTGCCCCTGCCCTCTGGGCTTCATATCAGTGGGCTCGCTGCTCCACCACTTTGCTTGTCTCCTGGTGGCTCCACTGAAGAGAGATGGGAGTTATGCATCACTTAGTGTAATCAGCCCAGGATGGAGGGTCTGTGCTGTGGGCCCAAGCCAATGTTCCCTGTCTGGTGATAAGCAGTGGGGTGTGTGTGGCACCCACAAGAGATGGACTGCCTTGTTCCTTGGGTTAACTGCAGCTTGTTAGAGTTATCAACATGGCACTTAGTGTCTTTGCTTTCTTGACATTTTGAAGGTAACAAGGGCAGATCCACTGCAGATGCAATTGCAGAGAGGTTTCAGTTCATCCGTGAAGCTCTGTCCAATGAATTGCCAAGTTGCTACTGCCTTGATGGCTTCAGTGGGGGCCTGTCTAAAGACCCAAGCTGGGAGGACCTGCTCATCAAGGAGTTATGGAAACCAGCACCCATGTAACTGTTCAGCCACTTTTCCATAAGGTTGCTGTGGTATGCTGGGGTTCCACTCCAGTCACTAATTGCCTCATATCTTCCAGTGCCTGAAGCTATCACTAGTGAAGCCTGAAAAAAGGCAAAGATGATAGCCTGCCTCTTCTGCTGAGAGCTCTGTATCACTGAGCTACAATCCTGTTGCCAATCTGAACACACCAATAAAAGGTGGTTGGAGACAAGTTCAAAAGTCCTGTGTAGTTGGGAGGAACAAGAACAGAGACTTGCTTTTAAAAAAGTCTGGCCAACTTTCTGTAGAGCAGCTGTGCTTTGCTGGGTGTTCACTTCAGCCCCTGGTCACCTCAGACACTCTGAAACCTCAAGGTTGAAATGGCTGAGTCACACAAACAGCAAAGATGACAGTCTGGTCCTCCCTCTGGAAGCTCTGACTCAGCGAGGCCTGAAACATCTGTCAGCCAGAGAACAGCAGTGAAAGCAGCCAGGGACCCTGGCTGAAAGTCTCCACCCAGTGATTAGAAATGCGGTTGGGGACTGACTTAAACAAGTCTGGCCATGTTTTCGCAAGGTGGCTCAGCTGTGCTGAGGTACCACTTCTACCCCTGGTCAGCTTGGGTTCTCTCCAAAGCCCACAGGCCAGAACAGTGGTAAAGTTGGTGGCCCGCCCCTATCTGTGGAAGCTCTGTCTCAGGAATGTTTCAAATCTCCATTGGCCAGGGAACACTGGTGCGGGTAGCTGTAAGCCCCAGGTAAGAGGTCCTGTTCAGTAAGGAGGAACAGGGTCAGGGGCCTGCTTTCAGAAGCAGTCTGGCCATGATTTGTTAAAGCAGCTGTGCTGTGCTGCGAGACCTCTTCTGCGGCTGGTCGGTTTGTACTCTCCAATGCCCGCAGGCTGGAATAACTAAGTTCCTCCAACAGGAAAGATGGCGGCCTGCCCTGTCTTTTCTCTCAGAGTTTATCTTGTGTGATGGAGCTGAATTTTTAGGCTGTTAATTTTACAATAAGCATTACAGTTGTTCAGAAAGAATCTTGCTTTTATCTTTCAGGTTAGATGTATGAGAATTCATTGTCTCCTGAAATAAGCCTGTTCATTTTTTGTTCTCTGGAAAGAAGTCTCTTTCTGCTATCTGACTTTGGTCACAGTCAGGTAGAGCAGTATCAAGTCTACAATGGCATGATTGAATTTCCATTTCCAGTGTTTCCTAGTTGTGTCTTACATTCTCCAATTCAGAACTGACCATTTTATTCTTCGTTGTCAAAATGCTAAGCTGTCCACTGTCCTTAAACACTATCTTTGTTCATTCTTCCTTATCCAATTTTATAGCCTTTAGAATATTAGTATGCTTTTCGTTCACACTTTCAATGTCCTCCAAAAGTTTTATTTTCCCTTAGCGGGTTCTGCTGTTTTACTGTGTCTAGTTCCAGTCTTAGCATGGCAATTTTTTCCCACAACATGCTATTTGCATGCAAGAGATCTTTTTCTTTCTTACGGGTAANTGTAGTTTAAAATCAGGTAGCATGATGCCTCTGGCTTTGTTCTTTTTGCTTAGGATTTTCTTGGCTATATTGGCTCTCTTTTGGTTCCATATGAAGTTTAAGGTTTTTTTGTTTGTTTGTTTGTTTGTTTTTCAGTTTTTTGAAGAAGGTCATTGGTAGCTTGATGGGGTCAGCATTGAATCTATAAATTACTTTGGGCAGTATGGCCATTTTCACAATATTGATTCTACCTAAAAATATGCAGTGCTTCACGAATTTGCATGTACCCTTGGGCAGTGGACTTGCTAATCTTCTCTGGATCATGTCAAGTTTAATATATGTGCTGTCAAAGCGAAGACCGGTGAGGTTCTTTATATTGGCGATATTACCTGTTAGCTCCTGCGATGTTTTACAATGATTTTTGGCTTCCTTGCTTTGGATCATGACATACTTCTTTCACTCAGTGAACTTTGTTTCTACCCACATTCTGAATTCTACTTGTATCATTTCAGACATGTCAGCCTCTGGCCAGTTCTGAAAACTTCAACAGGCTGAACAATTGATGTAATCATCTGGAGGAAAGAAGGCATGCTGACTTTTTGAGTTTTCAGTGTTCTTGCACAGATTCTTCCTCATCTTTATGAGCTTATTCACCTTCAACCTTTGAGGTTGCTGACCTTTGCACAGGGTATTTTTCTTTTATTATATTTGATGACCTTGAGGGTTTGATTGTGGTGTAAGGTAGAGTCAGCCAAATGGCTTTGGTTTTGGAGGACTTTAGGGGGCCAACATTCATCTCCCAATTCCTGGACTGTGTGCTTTAACTCTAGGAAGCTTGTATTGGGTCTCAACTTTGTTCTCTGGCTCCTTGAACTTTGGAGTCTACTGCACTGAAGGCACCAAAGTGTGGCAGCTGTGGCAGAGTGCTAGCAGATGCAGAAGTGCCTGCCTCCCTGTGGGCATTCATCCAGTGGTGGATGCAAGACAGCTTCGGTGGGGGCCAGGGGGTCCTTGCTGTGTGTGCTGTTGCACTGGAGGTAGCGTTGGTTCAGGGTAGGGTGCTGGCCTGTGCAGGTCTGTGTGCCTTCTCTGTGACCTCCCTAAGCAGCAGTGGTCACTCAAGGTATATTAGGGTCTCTTTTTTGTACACAGCATTAGCTCAAGGGTAAGGTGATGGTAGGGGTGGTGCTTTTGGCTCTGTGCCTGCCATGACGCTGTCCTGAATGGCAGTTGCTGTGGGTTGAAGTATGTGCTACAGTCCCACGTGCTGGTAGAGCAAGTACAGAAAATCCACTCATGTAAACACACACCAGCAAAGCGATGTAGGAAGTTTGTGTATAAAAAGCTGCAGTATTGAGACATAATGTAGAGGCTGGTGTGTGCCTGGAGGGTCCACATTGCTGCATCTCTCCACTGCTGAGGCACGGTCCACTGGCACAGAAGCAAAGGTGTGGGCACCTAAGAGTACCCTTAGGCAGGTGTGGCCAGGCTGGGGCCCTGGGAGAGGCAAGCAGACTAAGGAGTGCTGAGGTCAGACCAGCTTCATCTCATATGCAAGAATGCCCAGCAGAGATCAGGTCTCAGAGGAGAATTCTCTGAAAAGGGAGGCCCCAGAACAGCACATCTGCTCCACAAAAATGTGGCCAGACTTCTTTTTTCACAAAGTCTCCATTCATTAAGAGGGAAACTCTCACATCTGATCTCTGCTGGGCAATCATCACATGAGATGTGGCTGACCTGACCTCCACAATCCTAAAGATCTGGGATAAAGTGTCTCATAAGAGCAAGTAGAGCCTAGAAAGATAGCTGTCCCTGCCCTCTGGGCTTCATAACAGCTGGCTTGCTGCCCCACCACTTTGTTTGTCTCCTGATGGCTCCACCCAAGAGAGATGTGAGTTAGCCATCCCTTAGTGTAATCAGCCCAGGATGGACGGTCTGTGCTGTGGGCCCAAGCCAAGGTTCCCTGTCTGGTGATAAGCAGTGGGGGCTGTGTGGTACCCACAAAAGATGGACTGCCTTGTTCCTTGGGTTAACTGCAGCTTGATAGAGTTATCAACATGGCACTTAGGGTCTTTGCTTTCCTGATATTTTGAAGTTAACAAGGGCAGATCCACTACAGAGGCAGTTGCAGAGAGGATTTCAGTTCATCCGTGAAGCTCTGTCCAATGAATTGCCTGTTGCTACTGCCTTGATCGCTTCAGTGGGGGCCTGTCTAAAGACCCAAACTGGAAGGGCCTGCTCATCAAGGAGTTATGGATACCAGCACCCATGTAACTGTTCAGCCACATTTCCATAAGGCTGCTGTGGTATCCTGGGGGTCCACTCCAGTCCCTAATTGCCTCATATCTTCCAGTACCTAAAGCTATCACTAGTGAAGCCTGCAAAAAGGCAAAGATGATAGCCTGCCTCTTCCACTGAGAGCTCTGTATCACTTAGGTACAATCCTGTTGCCAATCTGAACACACCTATAAGAGGTGGCTGGAGACAAGTTCAGAAGTCCTGTCTAGTCGGGAGGAACAAGAACAGATACTTGCTTTAAAAAAAAGCCTGGCCACCTTTCTGTAGAGCAGCTGTGCTGTGCTGGGTGTTCACT